GAATGAACATTAATTTCCCAGATTTGTTTACGAAATTCATGTTCAGGCTACACGAAGTACAGGCTAAGATTGAAGCTAACCTTGTGTTTTCATACCAGCTAGGCATGCAGAAAGGAAACGGTGGTTAGCATGGGCTAGGGAGCGCCCAAGCTTGTTAAGATTATACAAATCTTCAGTCCTTTAGGCTATGATTACTCGGTACAGAAACTAGTAAGGTATACATGTTAGTTCAATGTTATAAAACAATACCAAAGTAAATTCATGAAGTGTACATATAAGAGGAAGTAGTAGTGTCTCATCAGTCCATTTGTCCCTGGATTGTTTACATTGATTCTCATGATGGACTAGCATACCAAAATAAATAGTTATGAATATAACAGTAAATCTTCTAAATTAACATTGACTACACTAGTGTTTTGGCTACTTATCCAAAGCTAAGCATCTGTACACACTACTTCAGCCTGTGGTAAGGGTGTAGACTGAATCTGTGCATCCATGGCAAAATCACCAAGTGGCAATTATATTATAACATTATTTCTCAATCTTTTTTTACAGGCAATGAACTGTCTATATGGGATAAGGAATGTCACATCTCACGACAAAGACAAAAATCCATTTGCAGCATGGCTTGCCAAATTTGGAAAGGCCAGTCTGAATGCTTTTAAAGAAGTTGAACGAGGATCCAAAAGTCCACTCAAGTTCACCGGTGAAACACCAAAGCATAATTTTGAAGCTTTTATCGATCCAGATGATAAATTTGGTATAGAAGATAAACTTTCACAGGTAACAATTCCTGCATGAACCCTTTCAATGCCAAAGTCAACTTTAAAAAAAAAACATATAAATACTTCTTTATACTTTAAAATTTTGTTTATCATTGAGTCATTATATTAGAAATTATTATGGAAACTATAACATAAAAATGCACTAAAATACAAGATTGTTCCTGATTGCCTACCCTACCCCAAGATCTAACAGTCAGTTCGGATACCAATTTTGTTTCTTTTATGTGGGATAATTTATCAGGAAAATACTTGCCCTGTTACTAGTTAGTTAAAAAAGTTGATGTTTTATATTCACTTATTCTTTGTATCTTGGATTTATTCAATATAGGTAAATTGTTTACAACAGCTCCAAAACATTAGCTCGTATGGTTTTCTGAAGGACCGACTAGAATCAGGAAGAGTACGTTTACATGCGATGTGGTTTGATATTTACGCTGGCGATGTATAT